TTGAGAGTAGCCATTCTAACAGGTGTGAGGTGATTATCTCATTGTGGTTTTGATTTGCATTTCCCTGATGATTAGTGATATCGAGCATCTTTTCAGATACCTGTTGGCCATCTGTATGCCTTTTTTGGAAAAATGTCTCTTCAGATTCTCTGCCCATTTAAAAAACCAGGTTGTGCCTTTCTGCCCGTGGACACGGCCAAGTAAGCATCGTTAAAGTCTCCCCTCCCACCACTGTCATGTCTAAGTCAGAGTCTCCGAAAGACCCTGAACAGCTGTGGAAGCTCTTCCTTGAGGTTTGAGCTCTGAAACAACCAATGAGAATCCAAGGAGCCATTATGAGCAAGGGGAACACTTATGGACTGTGTGGTCATGACAGGTCCAAAGAGGCTTTGGGTTTGTCATGTATGCCACTGTGGAGGAGTGGATGCAGCCACAAATGCAAGGCCACACAAGGTGGTTGGAAAAGTTGTGGAACCAAAGAGGGCTGTCTCGAGAGAAGATTCTCAAAGGCCTGTGCCCACTTAACTGTGAAAAAGATTTTTGTCTGTGGTATTAAAGAAGACACAGAAGAACATCATCTAAGATTATTTTGAACAGTATGGGACAATTGAAATGATTGAAATCATGACTGACAGATGCAGTGGCAACAACAGAGGCTTTGCTTTTGTAACATTTGATGACCATGACTCTGCAGACAAATTGTCATTCAGAAATCCCACACTGTGAGTGGCCACAACTGTGAAGTAAGGAGAGCCTTGTCTAAGCAAGAGGTGGTGAATGCTTCATCCAGCCAAAGAGGTCGAAGTGGTTCTGGAAACTTTGGTGGTGGCCGTGGAGGTGGTTTTGGTGGGAATGACACTTTGGTCATGGAGGAAACTTTAGTGGCAAGGAGACTTTGGTGGCAGTCGAGGTGGTGGTGGATATGGTGGCAGTGGGGATGGCTAGGACAGATTTGGTAATGTTGGAAGCAACTCTGGAGGTGGTGGAATATCATTATTTTGGCAGTTACAACAGTCAGTCTTCAAATTTTGGACCCATGAGAGGAGGAAATTTTGGAGGCAGAAGCTCTGGCCCCTATGGTGGTGGAGGCCAATACTTGGCCAAACCGTGAAACCAAGGTGGCTACGGCGGTTCCAGCAGCAGCAGTAGCTATGGCAGTGGCGGGAGATTTTCACTGCTGCCAGGAAACAAAGCTCAGCCGGAGAGGAGAGCCAGACAAGTGACAGGGAAGCTACAGGCTGCAACAGATTTGTGAACTCAAGCAGGGTGGTGGCAGGGCCGAGCTGCTACAAAGAAGACATGTTTTAGACGACGCTCGTGTGTATGGGCAAAAACCTCAAGGTCTGTATTTGTGACTAATTATATAACATGTTACTTTAGTTTCTGTTCTATGGAAGGTGTAAAGCATTCCAACAAAGGGTTTTAATGTAGATTTTTTTTTTGCACCCATGCTGCTGATTGCTAAATGTAATAGTCTGATCATGATGCTGATATATAAATATGTCTTTAAAAAAAATTTAAAAATTGATTGTTTTTCTACTGAGTTGTATGAATTCTTTATACTTTTTAATATTAGCCCCTTATCAGACATATGATTTGTAAACATTTTCTTCCAGTCGATAGGTTGCCTTTTCATTTTGTTGGTGGTTTCCTTTGCTGTACAGAAACTTTTTGGTTTTATGTAGTCCCGCTTGCTTATTTTTGCTTTTGTTGCCTTTGCTTTTGGTGTCAAACCCAATAAACTCTTGCCAAAAGCAATGTTTAGGAGCTTACTACCAAGTTTTCTTCTAGAAGTTTTATGGTTTCAGGTCTTATGTTTGAGTCTTGATCCATTTTGAGTTAATTTTTGTGTATAGTGTTTTTATTCTTTTGCAAATGGCTGTCCAGTTTTCTCAACACCATGTATTAAAGAGACTATCCTTTCTTCATTATATATTTTTGGCTTCTTTGTTGTAAATTAATTGACCATATATGCATGGATTTATTTCTCGGCTTTATTCTTTTCTACTGATCTATGTGTCTGTTTTTATACCAATACCATACTATTTTGATTACTATTGCTTTGTAACATAATTTGAAGTCAGGAGATGTGATGCCTCCAGCTTTGTTCTTTTTTTTCTCAAGATTACTCTGGCTATTCAGAGTCTTCTGTGGTTCCATGCAAATTTTATAATTGTTTGTTCTATTTCTGTGAAAAATACCATTGGAATTTTGATAAGGACTGCACTGAATCTGTAGATTGCTTTGGGTGGTATGGACATTTTAACAATATTAATTCTTCCCCAAAAACCCAATGTTAATTCTTCCGGTTCATGAGCATGGAATATCTTTCCACTTATTTGCATCTTTTTCAATTTCTTTCACCAGTGTCTTATAGTTTTCAGTGTATAAGTGTTTCACCTCCTTGGTTAAATTTATTCCTAGATATTTTATTTTATTTTATTTATCTTAATAATTTTGGGGGCGGCGCCTGGGTGGCTCAGTTGTTGAGTGTCTGCCTTCGGCTCAGGTCATGATCTCAGGGTCCTGGGATCGAGCCCCGTGTTAGGCTCTCTGCTCAGCGGGTAGTCTGCTTCTCCCTCTCCCACTCCCCCTGCTTTGTGTTCCCTCTCTCACTATCTTTCTCTGTGTCAAATAAATAAATATCTTTTAAAAAATAAAATAAAATTTTTAAAAATTTTTCTTAATAATCTCTGCACCCAACGTGGGGCTTGAACTCATGACCCCAAGATTAAGAGTCATATGCTCTCCTGACTGAGCCAGCCAGATGCCCCTCTTCCTAGGTATTTTAATCATTATGGTTCAATTGTAAATGGAATTGTTTTCTTAATTTCTCTTCATAATAGTTCATTATTCATGTATAGAAATGCAACTGATTTTTGTGTATTGATTTTGTATCCTGCAACTTTACTGTATTTATTAGTTCTAACTTTTTTGATGGAATCTTTAGGTTTTTCCATATATAATATGTTATCTACAAATAGAAATAGTTTTACTTCTTCCTTTCTGATTTGAGTGCCTTATATATTTTTTTTCTTTCCTAACTCATCTGGTTAGGACTTCAGTACTATGTTGAATAAGATAAAAGGCAAATCTTATAAGGATAGAAAGTAGATAGAAAGTAGAAAGTTAAGGTGGTTGCCTGGGACTGGGAGTTGTGAATAGGAATCAACTGCAAATGGGCAAGAGGGATCTTTTTGGGGTGATAAAAGTGTTCTAATAATGGATTGTGGTAATTTGCAAATCTATGTAAATTTGTCAAAAATTATTATATTGTACACTTGAAATGAGCAAATATTATGGTATGTAAATTATTCCAGAGAGAGAAATAAGGAATTATTTAGCCAGCCAGGTAAAAACATCAAGTCACTTTTAAGGGAAAGAAAATTAGGTTCTCCTCAGAAACATATGACTTCTCACAGAAACATTGAACACCAGAAGACAATGGGACAATACCTACAAAACACAATGAAAGAAAGTGTAGCCAAAATTATTGAATTGAACCAGTCTTTTTCCCATCTCCCATGATCTTCTGCAATGTGACCTTGCCACTCTCCCATTAAGAAGTAGAGTCTAGGGCGCCTGGGTGGCTCAGTTGGTTAAGCGACTGCCTTCAGCTCAGGTCATGATCCTGGAGTCCCAGGATCGAGTCCCACATCGGGCTCCCTGCTTGGCAGGGAGTCTGCTTCTCCCTCTGACCCTCTTCCCTCTCGTGCTTTCTATCTCTCATTCTCTCTCTCTGAAATAAATAAATAAAATTTTAAAAAATTAAAAAAAAAAAGTAGAGTCTAATTTTTCTCCCTTGGAATCTGGGTGGGCCTTAGGGACTCTCTTGTAACCAAGAGAATGCAGTGGAAGTGATGTTGGTGACTTCCAAGTCTAGGTTAAAAGAAGTCTTGCAGCTTCTGTGTATGTCCCTTGTAATACTCCCTCCCTAGAATCTCTCTCAGGATGCTCCCTTTAACCCAGGTACCAGGCCATGAGAAGCCAAACCACATGGAGAGCCACATGAGGATGCTCTGGTTGACTGCCCCAGCTGAGCCCAGGTTTCAAATCATCCCAGCCCAGGTACCAAACTGAGTAAAGAAGACTCCAGATGATTCCAGCCCCCAGCTGTTTCAGTGCCCCCCCCCAGAAGTTATAGTCTTTTCCCCAGCTGAGACCCCAAACCTCATAGAACACAGATGATTCATCTGTGCTGCACCTCATGCAAATCCTGACCCACAGAATCTGTGAACATGTAACATGGTTTTGTTTCCCACCACTAGCTGGGGGTGTTTTGTTAAGCCACAAGAGATAACCAGAACAGCAGGAGTATGACAGAGGTGATATGGTCTTCTTTGCATTTCGAACAGTCATTTGGCTCATGATTTCAATCTGTCTCATAACTCATGATGTTCATTTTGATCACTTGTCTAGGTGGTATCTACTATAACATTAGTCTTCCCTTTGTAATTAGTATTTTGTGCAGAGGTATTGTGAGACTAAATATTCCCATTCCTCATCAAACATTCAATTAATTGGTTTACTTAAATCAATATGGACTCATGGATTTCTCTTTTATTCAATAGGTTATCATTGTTTATTTTGATGCTCAGATTGGCCTAGGTTTGGCTAGCAGGAGCCTGTTTTAAGTTGCCTCCCATGCCCTTTTGACATGTGCCCATAACTCTTGAGCAGTTTCTTTTTTTTATTATTGTTATGTTAATCACCATGCATTACATCATTAGTTTGTGATGTAGTGTTCCATGATTCATTGTTTGTGCATAACACCCAGTGCTCCACGCAGAACGTGCCCTCTTTAATACCCATCACCAGGCTAACCCATCCCCCCACCCCCCTCCCCTCTAGAACCCTCAGTTTGTTTTTCAGAGTCTGTCGTCTCTCATGGTTCGTCTCCCCCTCTGATTTACCCCCCTTCATTCTTCCCCTCCTGCTATCTTCTTCTTCTTTTTTTTCTCTTAACATGTATCACATTATTTGTTTCAGAGGTACAGATCTGTGATTCCACAGTTTTGCACAATTCACAGTGTCTCAAGCAGTTTCTAACTTCCTATACAAGATGTTCCAACTTTACGGTATGTGGAAACCAAGATCTGGCACTGGGTAGGCTCATTGCTGTTAAGTTGTACAAACACACATTTATTGATATCTTAATAAAATCTATATTTCCATATGTCTCTCTATTGACAACCATAAGTTTACACCAATACCTCTGATTTGAAATTAATGCCATAAGATTCATTTTTGCCTTCTCCCTTTCCATATTTATTTGTCCTTTCTCTGACGAGACATTTGGTTCCCATTACCTTTAACGTATTTACCTAATTGGTTAATCGCACTCTATGTAATCATTCTCTCATCGCCCCCATGGCCCCATCTTCCTCTTCCACTTGGGCTTCTGTTCCACAGGAGCGGCCACCCTCCTACACTAACATCTTCTTCACTCCACATGGGCTGTAAAATCCCATACTGCTCCCACCCCACGTGAACATCTTCCCCCAAACCTGTGTCCTTACCCTGCTGTGGAAGCCCACCCTGGCATCTAGTGGTCTTGGACTGAATTGTCACAAGGGGAAGAGAAAGAAAAAAAGAAAGGGGGGAACTTACCTAACTTTCTTAAAGTTATGAAAATACATTTTTAAAAAGTTTTTAAGTATAATGCACAAGAGCAAACAAGCTTATCTTTAAGAAATCAAGTATCACACCCATAGTCAATTACAACTACATCTTAGAGCAACATTTGTCTTTGTTTACAAATACAGCAGTGGACGATAAAACCTAACATCTCAAACAGATTGCTTACTGTTTATAATACAAAGGCATGGCTATGTCTCAATTCGTATTTTTGGCATTTTAACTTAAAATGCATAGAGAATCACATACATTAAATTTGTCATTTAAAAAGTTAATTAAATCACAATTTTAAGAAAAATCAAAGACTATAGAATTCAAGGTCACTTGTAAGAAACTGATTTTTTCAGAAGTCTTTGTCACTGAAACTATATAAGTATACAAAGTAATGAGATGTTTCTCTCTCTTTTTTTCCTGGAAGAAGGCACTGTCACTGCCTGTCACTGAAGAGCAGATACTGATTTGTTGCCAGTAAGTAAACTTGATGCAACAATATTACATATTGCATCTAAAGGCAGAATTGATAGCTTATCCCAATATAGGACAACCATGATTTACATTATGTATTGGCCTGGATTTTTTTTTAATGTAGTTTCCATAAATAGTAGGTTTTAATGCTGTATGACCTATTTGGCTAAAAACAATACAAATCAGGTAGAACTCAAAAAGAGTTTACTAACTCAAAAAAAGTTCACTAATCAAAGCTCAAGAATAAAAATAAACACTGGCTAATGAACTCAATACCTGACAACAGTTACTGGCAATTTCAGTTACTGATAAATACTCCAAAACATAACCTCAAAAGGACCACATTTATTTTTCTATACATAAAGCAATCATTTATTTAAATTATGGCAATGTGATTGTTTTCAAAAGTACGTTTAGGGAAATAGCGATTATAGAAAAATAGTTGAATTAATTTGCCAGTGAAGTTGCAAATTCTAACAATAATCCACATCATCTTAGATTTTAAGTATGTGGTTTCATAAAGTAAACAAATTCTCTCAAAGAGCAATTCAATATAATTAATTAAAATAATTGCTTTAAGTTTCCATGAAAACCAAATAAGTATCACATATGAATGATTTATATTTACATTTTTGGAATCTGGCCAGCGTTGAAGAGGTTGACCAGGTTTTTTATTGCTCACAGCAGAGGCTTGGGCAGTGGAATGTTCAGGTAGGGCATTTACCATCAAAAATTCATCAGATGGGATGCCTGGGTGGCTCAGTCGGTTAAGTGTCTGCCTTCAGCTCAGGCATGATCCCAGGGTCCTAGGATCGAAACCCGTGTCCGGCTCCCTGCTCAGCGGAGAGTCTGCTTCTCCCTCTCCCTCTCTTTGCATGTGCTCTCTCTCTCTCAAATAAATGAATAAAATCTTTAAAAAAAAATTCATCAGGCATTTTCCTAACAAGAGTTTAATTCCTTGTCTCACTTGAGGGTGTGCCTGGTTTCCAAGGAGTTGGGTATGAAAAGGGGAGGAAAAAATGTAATTTTACAGTGATCAAGGTTAGCATCATCAAAAATAAGTCAGGTTGATATCCCGTACCCTTAATATGATGTGATGAGAATGACACTCTACTTCTGTGATCTTCCAGCAGTCCCAACCCCTAGTCTACAATGAGAAAAACACCAGACAAACCCCAACGGAGGATATTCCTCACAACACATGAGCAGTAGTTCTGGGATCAAGGTTATCAAAAACAAGGAGAGGCTGAGAAAATGTCACAGTCTGGAGGTACCTAAAGCAGCACAACAAGTAAGTGTAATGTGGTATCCTGGAACAGAAGAAGAAACATCAGAAGAAATCTAATAAAATCCAAACAGAGTGTGAAGTTTAGTTAATAGCACTGTATCAATGTTGGTTCCTTGGTTTTGATGAAAATACTATGGTAATATAAGATGGTAACAGCAAGGAAAACTGCATGAGGGTTATACAAGAATGCTTTCTGCTATCTTTGCAACTTTTCTGCAAACCTAAAACTTCTAAAATTAAACAGTTATGGGGAAAAATTAAATGATCAAATATTAGGAAAAAGGTGAGGGTGAATTTCTCTATTGGGGAGTGGGACACATTTACTAACTGCCTAGTGTCTAACTTAGACACACTAATGAAAAGGCTGATAAATCTGACAAGGTTTTAGAAAACTTTTGTGTATTAGTTTGCTAGAGCTGCCATAACAGAGTTCAACTTGGTGGCTTAAACAACAGAAACTTCTCACAATTATGCATGCTAGAGGTATGAGATCAGCTGTCAGCAAGGTTGGCTTCTTTTGAGGTCTTCCTAGTTTCTGGATTACCATCTTCTGTCTTCACATGGTCTTCCCCAGTGTCTGTGTTCTAATCTCCTTATAAGGACATCAGTCATAATGAATTAGAGCCCATCAATATGACCTCATTTTACCTTAATAACCTCTTTAAAGGACCTATCTCCAGATACAGTCTGGATACACATTCTGAGTTACTTGGGGTTAGGACCTAATATTGGAATTTGGGAGGAAAACAATTCAGCCGATAACAAATTGCATGACAAAAGCCGTGGTAAGTAAAAACAAAGATGGCAAACAGAAAAATGCTTGCAACTGATATCACAAAGGGTTAATGTCCTTAATATATAAAGAATTTAAGTAGAAAAGATAAAGACCAAAAATCATATAAAAAATGAACAAGAGAAATTAAATAGATTCTTCACAGAAAAAATACAAAGACATTTGAAAATATCTCTACCTGGCTCATGATAAAATCTCATTTTCCACCTACCAGATTGGCAAAAATCCATGAGTTTGACAATTAGATTATATTAGTAGGCACTTTCATACATTGCCACTAAGAATGCAAAAATGGCACAAGCCTCATGGTGGAGAATTTAGCAATATCAACAAAATTACATATGCAAGTGCCCTTTGACCCAGAAATCTAACTTCTAGGAAATTTTAGTTGTGATGGTAACGTTGTGGCTATGTTTTTAAAAAAAGAAGTCCTTCACTATATCCTACTTAAAGGGTCTATCCAACAAGAAGATCTAACAATTGTAAATATCTATGCCCCGAACATGGGAGCAGCCAATTATATAAGGCAATTAATAACAAAAGCAAAGAAACACATT